AAAACTTAAGTACAGTGCCCCCCCTTTCTCCGCAGTTACGTAAGCAGTAAGTTCCGTAAACGTTTATATAATTTTAAGTAAATAGAATTTAATAACAAATAGAATTTGTAAATTTTTTTAAGTGTCACTCGTAAGAAGCTGTAGTATTTATTAGTAATATTAATGTATGTATGCATGCGTTATTATTATTGTATGTATATTATGCAATATTGTAAGAACTGAACATCAAGCAGCAGTATTTACTCAGATATAAACCATAAAATTATAAAAAAAAAAAAAAAAAAAAAACATTTGCAAGAATATGAACACATTGAAGCAACTTGCTTCAAACAAAAAAGTGCTTTGTAACAGCTGATTTGAGTCTGTAATGGGTAAATCGTCGCTGGAGGTGGATGGTTCTAAAGAGAAATTCTATTCTCTGGCATCTTCTCTCAATGTAAAAGGCTGAAGGTATTATGTTGATGATGTGAGAGGTATTTCACACTTTTTGTCATCGCCTTTGTCACACGTGTTTTGTTGTTGTAGATGGCGTTGTTGCTAGACATGATACGGTTATTAACTTTCTTGAATCACTTTATATTTGGACCCTTCGATTCTAATTTTGCTAGCGTCATGTTTTTCAGATTAAGCTTCGGGTTTGCAAATTTCTGAACGTCTAGAGTTGGTGGTTCAATTGGCATCATATTTTATGGTTAAAGTGACAAACAAGTGACTAAACTAATAATGCGAATATCATTTGAAAGCAAGAATACGGATCGAGGAAAGGAAGAATTATTTACGTAGTCTCTATTTCTAGTTAATATGTTTTACTTCAAATTTTATGGCTTTTGCACCGTTACGTAATTGTGAATTTACTCAAATCGGGGAGGAGGGATTACCAAATATTGAATGTAATATAAGTGATAATTTTCTTGAAAGTGTTATGAGGTATGAAAACCGAAAATGCAAACGCAAAAATTAGAGCAGAACTTTTTTTTGCTAGGTTCATGTGAATATGTTCTGAGTATGTATTGGATCAAATAATGCGATTTTGAATTTTTAATTGTACATTAATCTGATTGTTCGTTCGGATTTTAAAGTACCCATATAGACATAACTTGCGTAAATTTAATGGACTGTTTAATTTAACTACAGCCACGCCAGGACTATCTGCTTACTGAAGAAATTTAGAGCAGTTTTTAATTCTGAAATATAAATTTAATATACTTTTGTAATAGCTTGAGGTTATCATTGATAATTTTCTGTATATTCTAGCTGAATGTCGATTTATTAACTGTTTGCAATTTATTTAATGAGATTTTAGAACAAAAGATTTACTTTATGACACTTTAAATTTTGCTTTTTAAGCATTTTTAAAATATCCAGTTGAGTAAAGTGTCGAATAGCGTACGAAAGGAATCGTATCTGAAAAAAAGTAGTTTTGTTTTTATTGGCGGTGTAAAATATATATATTGTTCAAAAGGCAAACACATTTAACATGGGGGGTGTCTTTTTAAGTCTGTCACCGTAAATTTCCTTCAACTTTATGCAATTTTATCTGAATGTCATAAATCGGTATCATTGAAATGGTTGACTTATTGTCAGAAGTATTGAAACAAGAAAAAAAGTAAAAGTCACCATGTTCGGAAAAACTTGTCATAAGATATTGGTAATAAATGCCATAACCTTTGGGTTAACCAAACTTAGGTATTTTTCCAGAAATGAGAAATTTAAAAAGGCAAAAAGAAAATCATGTAATAAGGAGTGGGATCTCTTTATTTTACATGTACTGTTGCTCTTTCAAAAAGTCAGTATCAATAGTAAATTTTAAGTAGAATTTTTTTCTTACGTTGATGAACAAATAAGGAAAGACAACACGAATTTTTAATTTTATGGATTAGATATGAGATTAAAATTAGAGCAAATGTAAAATGCTATTTATATAAAAGTTTTATTAGTTAGAAAAGATTTTTTCTAATTAATACAGTTTGATTAATCTAATAGCATTTGCGAACTCTGTGGACAATGGTATGATCAATATAAGCAAATTTAATGATAAACATTTGCGATTAACTGTTGCGGAATGTGCTAAATAAAGACAATCTTTTGTTTTCGAAGCGTATGCTGTGAAGGTGAATCAGTGTTATGTTATGCGGTGTAGTAGGAAATTTTATCTAGATGCATTCATTGTGGTGTCCGCCATTAATTTTAAAATAAGTGTTTCGATTCGTTGATAAACGCAACTTACTTTTCCCGAATTTGTTAAGTAAACGTAAGCCCATAGCAACATTCTGAAATCAAGAAGGTCTGGCATTCAAATAGCAAAAGAGATTATTTTCAAATATTTGAATGAAAAGAGAGAGAGTTCAGTAACTTCTAGTTGATTATTTGGAGATTGGTGTGAAGGTGGTTCATATATGTTTCTTATTATTTATAAATAAATTTGTGTAACAGAAATATATTATAAATAATATTTCACCTAAAGCATTTTCTCGTTTAATTACGTCTCTGTCTCTCTCTCCTCCTTTTCTTTTCCCAATTTCTTTAAAGAAGATTATTCTGAAATGGTCATTTACTTCCTCTTTTTTTTTTTTTTTTTTTTTAAATTTTATGCTGTGTAATGAACTTATGCTTGGGAAATAAGAATTTTCATAATAATCCTGTTCTTAGTTTCCAGTGCATTCCCCCCAAAAAAGTCGATATTATTTTTCGATGATTATTGACTTAAATTTGAACTATATAATTGCCGTCTGTTATTATTTTAGTCACATTAGAATCTTCTTAGTCGCAAATTAACATTGCATGTACTTGCGTATTTATTCAAATGTAATGTAAAATACTGAAAAACACTTCAGATTTTTCCGCAGTGAATACTTTTTTGTTTTAAATTTTTGTGGTATGTTGCTGCAGTTTGTGGTTGGTTTTGCGGTCTCTTGGAGTATTCGTGGTTTCTCTTTCCTCCCGTGATGCTTTCATTGATGTTGTCAAGCTTGTATAGGTAAAATTGCAAATATTTTGGTGACTAATATAGATTTCATTTTATGAAGCGGAAATATCACGTGACTCATTCTTCCGTACGTATTAATTTGAAACGAGAAAATAGAAAATTTCATCGGCTTTCAGATGTGTTTCAAATTCGATAATTAATTATATTTAAAAAGAAACAGATATAAATTTTTAAAAGAATTTCAACTTAAAATACCATTTTGTACTGTTTAATTTGAAATTTGCGATAAAATTTGCCATGAATGTTTTAGTTGCAATAACTCTTTGGCGTATGTAATAAATTTTTGAATATAAAATTAATTTTAATGTAAAACTGATGCACATTTTAGATAAAACTTTGGTGCATATGAAAATTTAGATTTTGCATTCAGTGGGAAATCTTTTGTATTTCAGTTTGAAAATAATGCCTTTTCATGACTTCTTGAATAGTTTTTTTCGAAACTACGTTAATATATTTATTTCATTTGGAAATTAGCTAAGCAATGAATGAATTTTCTTTTCAGGTTTCTTTTCAAAATGTTATGATTTTATTGTTGATTTTGTTAGGTATACAGAGTTTTATAAATACCAGTAGGATACTTACACCTTTAAAATTTGTGTATGGCATCTTTAATAATAATAAAACTGCATTTTTGCTGTAACTAAAATAAGACCTGGAAAAGTGTGGGGGGAAAAAAAAAGAAAAAGGTTACTGCATGATCAGAACAGAACCATCTATGAAACATATTGTGAGAATACTTTATATATCGATGTTTGGAAGAAATAGCCTGAAAGATTTAGAAGTAGCGAAACTGCTGTTAATTACAAACTTTATTCAGGAGAGTGAAAGAATTCTAGAGCGACGAAATTAAAAGGCGTATCCAACTAAATCATTGCATTGTTTAATAAATTGTACACTCCCCCTTTGTGGTAATTAAATAAATATATATTATAACCCACTGAATTTCGTAAGCATCCGATAGTAAAGTTTCTACACTGCTGTATACTATATTCAGTTGAATCTGATCACTGGAGACTGGATAATTCACGCGTGCCTGTGATATTGTTATGGTCTGTTGTGTTTGAATAAAGTATAAATAACACCAATGCAGTTATGTCGAAAAATTGGAATCTATTCAAATTCTGCATATTTTTGTAATGTACTATCTTAGTTTATAACATTTAACAATTTAATTCACTTTTTTATGGTAAAAAGCTGAATTATTTTAAATTTTTGACACAGCCTATTTTTTATTATACATAATGAAAGCTGAATTTTTTCATTCATTTTAGAAAAAAAATTTAATGCATATATGTAAAAAATTACAGTTCTGATAAATATAAAGATTATATTTTGTTCGGAATATTACGAAACTTAGATTTGTTCTAATCACAAATTTCACATTTATAAATTAAATGCCCTTTATAAAAGTTATTTGATAGCAATGAAGTAGAAACGGATACTGCCAAATCAATTGAATAATTGAGTATAAATTATGAGCCATATTGAACATATTCTTGCACGAGTTATGGATTCAGTTCTCGCAAAAAATTTACCAGATCAAAAATGGTAGAAAAAGATTTGGAGTTCAGGGAAAGAAATGGCGGGCTTTTCTTTTGGCGGGAAATACTTCTCGTTTTTTAGGAAGGTCGAGGGGCGGAGCTTACTGATAGTTGCAGGGTTGTTGTTGACGTCACTTGGCACTTTTTCGCCTGCCTCAAATTTCTTCTTCCGGGCATGTTTTTAGTTTTTTCGGAACTTCACTGTAATCTAGCAACTTTTTAACAATTAAAGAAATAAATTTTGCGGTTGTATGATGAGCATAGCTGGTCCTAGCTTTTAATTCTATTTTAGAATATATTATGTTTTTAGTGGGCGTAACCTCTTTTGTAATTCCATTGATTAAGTCGTACCCTCTTTTTACTGAACTTGCTATATCCATCGTTAGGTGGCGGTAGGATCGGAAGGAAATCTGGCGTTTTGCCAACTGTGGCGCAACGGGGCCGTAGATCAAGTCTTGGGAGCTTTAGCCCGGAGGTTTGAATGCGTGGAGATGAGCGAGTTAGAAAACAATAGTCTTTAATTAGAACTTCAGCCGAAATGACAACAGGATTGTGTGATACAATTGTGCATGGATTATCTGATTATATGCTGCTCCAAGCTCCGGATTAAACGATGGATTCGAAATTGTGGATTACAATTCGTGAGTACTTTAATTTCATCATGGTTGCGCAGAAATGGTGGCCATGGCTCGCGTGGTATTAGTAAAAATGCTTCTTGGAATAAGGAGCTACTGCGCCGACGCCGATGTCGGAGTGCCGCCCTCAGAGTTCTTATCATTGGTCCTGTGAGTGAAATGTTATTGTGTTGGAATTTTTCTTTTTTTTTATATTTTTTGTTCCGTTCACCGTCGGAATGTTTTACCATTGCCCCCTTGATTAAAATGAAATAAAACTCTTCAGTTTGGTATTGTAATACATATCAGTAATTGTTTCTTTCGACTTCGGAAAATCGGAACACAATTTGTTTAACTTTCTGCTGCGTAAGCAGAATTAGTTCAAACCGATACAATGATGACGTGAATAACGGATCTCTCTTCTCGTACTTGTAATTCCATCCGTTGTATTAAATATTAAAACTCATGGCTGTATATATGATCAGTTAATGACAGTTGCATATGATAAATTAACTGCTCATTTATGTCTTAGTCATCTAGATGCTTGTAATACACGATGAAATTTCATTTTCTTTCGTATTCGAATCGGTCCAAAAATGACGGACACTCATTTTCTCTTAATAATGAATTCTTAATTGTGAAAGCAGATCATTTATATACTGTAGCAGTTATGTAGGAATATTTATTTCCTTCTTTTAAGTAATTTCAAAGTCCTGTAGTGTAAGGAAGGCGGTATTTTCATGCATAAGTAATTTCAAAGCCCAGTAATAAAAGGAAAGCGGTATATTTGCGTTTTAAATTTTTCTCTCCCAATTTTCCAGTAATACTAAATAATACAAAGACATTAGTGTAGGGAAAATTGTATTTCCGAAATATAATGTCTTGCAACGAATTACAAAAATTCAACAGATAAACAATTTTTGATACAAATGGAATTTTCAGATAGCAAATGGGACTGTATTTCCTTGGCATAATGATGCTTTAGTTTCATTGTCTAAGATAAATTAGTAGAACTAATTAGGTGTATTGAAATTTCTAATTTTTTTATAAGTTTTTGCAGTTCATGTACAGTATAATGTGAAATTTATTTTTGCCTGTATTAAATATTTTGGATTGTTAACTGTCATTTTATTTTTTCATGAAAATAAATATTAGGCATATGGACAGTAACACATTCACATATATTTTAATAGTACAAATTTTAAAAGGCTAGAAGTCAGGCATGAACTGGGAGCAGTTTTATTCAGAAGTGAAGTCTTCTGAATATTGTTAAGGGAGGAGGGTAGGTGAGCCTGATTATTTATGCACATATGTATGGTATTATAAGAAGTTTGTTTTTAAGTAGTTGGTTTATATTGTCAAAGAAAATTGAAATTTCTGCATAATGTGCTTCAAATTAGTTTCTTTTTAAATAAATAACCTTGTTATTCTGAACACTTGCAGTTTATTTTTAATTATGTAGCTTTCACATTATAACTCTTTAAAACTGATTTAATAGAAAGAATCTTTGTTATGTGTTTATTTGGTTTTAACTCCGTTTAGTTCATGATAAGATAAATGTGAATTAAAGTGTAAGTAAAGACAAAATTATGTATTTAGGGGGGGACTGTAATCAGTTTTTTATATCATAATTTTAGGCATTCTGTACCCATTTAACATTAATTTTAGAAACTTTATTGGTTGAACATTATATTGGAACAAAAAGGCTGAAATTATTTTTCTTCCCTTAAATCCTTTAAATATGGGTCACAAGATTTGTCTTAGTTTAAGGATATGTGCATGTATTTTTTTCCGAGACCCTTATTTATGTGCTTGGTTTCAAAAAAATGATTTCACTCAATGAAGTATTCTGACCTATGATATGATATATACATATATATTATAACTCATAAGTCAGTACATCCTAAAAAAATTTCAAAATCAAAGTTTAAAAACTAATAGATGATCTGTGGAAATTGCAACAGTCTCGGAAAATAATATATATATATATATATATATATATATATATACATATATGTACAACAGCTGCGGTTACTTAATGGAACAGGATTAATATAAGTAAAATTTTAACTTGGTTCAACTATGCATTCTCTTAACTTATCTAAAATCTTTCAGCAGTATGATGGCTATTGCTGGTCATATTCATTTTCTTTGTACTATTTTCTTACATCCTTTTAAATTAATAAGGATTTCTCTTAAAATCCTGTATCCATTATTTCTGGCTTTATAATTTCTGTGTTTTGTTAGGCTTTATTGTACTTTTTTTTTTCTTCATAGGCATTGTTATTTTATTGTATAGAAGTAGTAAAATTCTGCAGCCTGTTAGCCATATGAAACATAATGGTTTCTCCATTTTTGCATCAGTAAATTTTGTTCAGTATGGTGGTTATTGGTTACCTGGTTGAGTTTATAAAACTCTTAATATTCTCTGTATCTGAATAATTGGTGTAAATAGAATTTTAAATGGTTAAGGAGGGATTGACTGCTTGAAGAAAACTGGTTTCTGATAAAAATTATGTCCATAAATTTAGCACAAAGCTGTATTATGAATATAGTTTTCATATGATTTATGATGCCTAACAAGAAAAATATTCATACAGTTTTTATGTTTATTCCATTTTATATACATTTATTAATGAGATCTTCTCCATTATAATACAGTAATAAAATTTTCTGAATATATCTTAGGTTAATTATTTCCGTAACAGACTGACAGTGAAGAATTTTTATCGACATTGCTGAGAGATAAAAACTGTATCAGCAAAGATGGGGTTTGTGTTTACTTGTATCCACCAGAATTCGGATAAGAATCAAATAAAGTACTACAGTGTACATTAGTTTTGGAATTATTAAATTGGTCTATGGATGTATCAATTGAAAGTTAGTATATATTGTCCTATAATGAAAAGAATGGTATTGATATTTTATTCAGAACCTGGAGGGGGGAGAAAGAAATTCTGTGAAGTATATTGCTTGTTTATAGAAACTTAATTGAGATTTGTATGCATATTAGTGCATCTTATAGTAATGCTGCTATTCTCTTTCCATTAGTCCTTATCAGTTTTTGTATAAAAGGCAAATTATTGAAAAGCAGTATTCCTCCACACTCCTTCAAAACAGCTAATTTAATTCATGTGTCTGTAATTAAGTAATTTTAAAGGATGATGAATAAAATACCATTGTGGGTTCTTGTAGATTCTGACCCATATAAAAAAAGGAAATTACATAGAACTTTGTTTGTTTGTAAATATTTTACAAAATTTAAATTGTCCTCCACGTTTTGTATGAACTAAGAGGACAGTTTTTTTTTTTTTTTTTTTTTTTTTTTTTTTTGCCTGCAACTAATACAAGCACATCTATTCATTAACATTTTAATGTTGGTTGCTCAAATTTTATCTTTGAACTGATCCTATCTTTCTGTATTAATTATCATCCATCATTCAGTCTGTCTTTTCACTATTTAATTAATTTACTCATTATGTATATTTAATTAGTTTGACAGTTGTTCCATCAGCAAAATTTGTACTTCAGGTTAGTGGAAGATACTGTTTAAAAATTTTATAACTTAAAAGTTAATTAAAAACAAGTTGCTTCCTTCAATTAAAAATAGGTATTTAAGGTGATAACAAATCAGTTAACAACTATTATCGTAGTACTGATTGATTTTTATGTTGCTTACACTTTCCCCGCGGTTAAAGGATGCACAAGTTTCTGTTTGCGAAGAGATTTTCAAACTTGGATCGTAAACCAAAGGATGACTGTAGCTGTTGACTGAGTACAGGGAAGAGAAATTCCAAGAAACCCAATTCCAGTGGCTGCAGCGTGTGCTGTGGCTAGCCACAGCTCTCTCTTAGTGTACGTGACCTCAAACAGGAACCACCCCGTCCATCGCATCAGAGCGATACGATAAGAAAAAATGGCCGCCTTTGCTCCTCCTGGTATTTGACCCGAGGGACAAATACATGCCACTGCGTCGCCAACCCACACTCGCGGCAGCAGTGCACGCATACCATTGGAGAGATTGATCTCATATCTGTGTAGTTTTGAAAAATATGAAAGCATCGCATTCCGGACTGGTCATGTGGTCCAAGGCAGCTTTTTAACGGGTGCTCTTTACTTTTTGTTCATAAGTAATATCACCATAAAAATCGCTGGGCCATAACATAGCCCCTAATTTGTATGTAAGCTGAAGTTAAAGACTGTCATGTTGTACGAATGGATTACTTCCTAATGAAATTAAGCACTGTATTTAAAAAATCCTGTAGTAACTGGTGACAATGTTTTATAGGAATTGAAACACTTGAAAATAAATTGCTACAAAACTGCCAATAAAGTTTTGTGAGTTTAAATAGGAAAGCTAAACATTTAATTAAAAATAATTTATTATTTTGCTTGATAGTCAATTTTTTTTTTTAAATTTCAGAAATCAACTGTTATATTGCATCCTGTTTTTTTGGATTAACCATGTGAAAATTAATTTTACTTCATGTGTAGAATTTAGTTAGTTACAGATGCATAAAAGGGTATGGATCTAACAACATAGTTTTCAATTTTTAAAAACTGTTGTATTCCAGTCATATATAATATACAACCTAAATTTCACTCATAAGAAATTTTTGCCTTTACTGTTCTGTTATTAATTTCTGTTTTGATGAAACTTTGGAGGGGGGGGCAAAGTTAGGATCTGTAAATTTTGGAAGTGAACAGATTTTCATGCAAGATACAAAATATCTTCAAATTAATTAAGAAATTTCACCTTATAGTTTAAAGAATAGTTTTGTATGACTAATATTGATGCTATAATCATAACATTGTTAGCTTTGTGAAATGTTGAATCATGTCTGTTACAGTAATGTAAGCAGTCTGATGAAATTATCACAAAGGCCATTAATCTTATAAGTCATTTTTAAACAGTTAATTTTGAAAATAAATGGTTTCAGCTTTACTGTTTTCTAATGAACATATAAAAATTTATGAATGTATCTTAAGTTTAATAATTCCTGATATGTGATAGGTGACCAGAGTAGTTCATTTAATTTTTCTCATATCCCTTTGTAGTTGAAAATAAATAGTTAAAAGTTGGTCTTGATACTTGATTGAAGATTTTTTTTCATTTTTATTTATCCTTCCTTTCCGAACTATGTAATACTCGAAGTTCTTGTTATAAAATAATGAAACTATTCATTTGAAACTAATTGCTTAATTCAGGTACATCAAAACAAGCTATTTGATTACATTATTATTGATTTTAATAATAACTATTTTATTATATTACATTTTAATTTACTTTAATAAGTAGTTTATAGCTGAATATTTACATGGTTAGATGGTCATTTTCTCTTTGTTTTCATTATATTATAGCTTTATACATAATTTTCTCTCTCTCATTATGTATGTAATTTGAGTGTGGGTTATATGCTTTTCTAATGAAGAAAAGTTTGTTACTTATGCCAATTTTCTATGAAATATAAGTATTATAAAAATTAATCGTATACCTATATATATTATTATCTATTAGCAACAAATAAATGTTTACTAAGATTCCTTGAAGAAGAAAGGTTTCTAATAGAGAAGTATTTTTGAATTGAATTGATACAAAGTGATATTCTCGGAAATTGTTTAATTGCTTATTTCACTTCCAGGCAGTTGGCTGCAAAAAAGATTTTGGACTTCTTACATGAAGCAGGATCAAACAAAGAAGAGCTGCATTCTATCATTTCTGTTATGTGTAAACTTAGTGAAGATGAAGGTATGTTCATTTTTTATAGATGTTACTGAGACTAAAATCCATCCCGGTGTTCTTATCCTATAGCTGCCAACTCATGCGGTTATACTAGGTTAAGTTACATGAAAATGGCAAAGCAAACAAAGGCTATTTGTCTAAGGAGGTATGCCTCCATGAAGGTCTTTTTAAGAGGAACTTGCTCTTATTCATGTACATATGGGAAAACAACTATGCAGCTACTTCCTTCCTTAAGGTCCCACCATTCAATGGTCTTTTGTAAGGCTTGGTTTTAATGGACGACTTCCAGTTTTTCAGCACATCTGGTGCCTAGGTATGATCACCAAATCTACTGGCTTTTAATTTTTAGTTTTTAATAACAAAAATTTGTTAAGTAACAATAATTTATAAACCAATAAAGCTTGTAATTGTGCAGATTTTGATTCCCTGTAATGATTTTCAGCATAATTTTTCATATTAAAATTTATTTGATCTGAATTCTTTAAATCTACTATAGGTATTTGTAGAACATTTAATGAATTTTCAAGCTGTCTTTAACCAGTTCAATATTTGTGTTTAATTTTGTTTTACATCACTATCTGGAACATAAATTTTATCTATATAGTAGTGTATATATTCATTATTTATTTTTATTCTATTGAAAGTAATTTGTTAAGGAAGTTGGGATTTTTATAGTATAAAAGTGTAAGAAGATTGCAATGAATTAAACTGAAGAGTGTGAAAAATAGAATGTTTAGTAAAATTAATATATTTTACATCATATTTGTATTAGCAGTTTTAGTAATCTGAATCATGCATTATCAAGTGAATTCGAGTTTGTCCAAAATGGAATTGCAACAAAGCTTAAAATCATCGCAGGTTTTTGCATAAACATTCGTTTTTTAAGATTGGCAACTTGTAAAAAATACAATAGTAGGTTTCCCATTTTGTCAAGTTGACCATTTGTGTAGATATAGTTTAATGCTTTGACGGGCGGTGGGATGCCAGGTGTCTCACCTTTTTTTTTTAAATTAGTTTTTATCTCCCACATAAAAGCTGCAAAATTCCATTTAAAATACATATAATTATGCCTTTGAGTTCTCTAAATGTATAACAGATGGCAGCACTAGTATTCATTCATGGAAATAATGTAAAGTAAAAATTTTTTGCAACTCCTAATTTGAAGCATTTTTTTCCCATTTATTTCTAATGCAATTTAAGTTGTCTGAACAACAACTTTTGGTGTTAGAAGGAATATTTTTATGTGAAGAATTCTTTTTCTAAAAAAATTATTATTTGAATTCTTATAGTATATTAAGAATGGTTGAAATTAAAAGGTAGGACCAATTATGTCCCACCACGCATGTAGGAATTGCTGCTACTAGATAGCAGGACCGTTCAAATATTTTTAAATTCAAGTATCATGTTCATTTTATATGTTGCTAATGCAAATTTATATTTTTAATGAATTGCAATAATGTTAAAACTTGAAAAATATTTAGTACTTTTTCCAAAAGAAATGAAAATATAACTGTAACATGAAATGTCATTGAATACTGAATGTGGATATATAAGTGTGATTCACCATAGAAAAATATCCTAAGCAGAGGAAAGAGAGGTGAAGTGTAAATCATGACAGCCTTCTAAATATCTTCCTTTTCAAACCTGTAGCAAATAAAGTACTGGGAAAAAATCTTCTGTTTCAAATCTATTATGAAATCATTAAAAAATATCTAAAAAGTCGTATAGAAAGCAATTTTTTTAATAAGTAATTGTTTGAAAAAAAATATTATTTTGCGAATATGATCAATATTTTCTAGGTAATTATTTAAAAAGTTTTTTTATATCTTGCATTTTCATTTGGTTTCTAAAACTAGCACCTTAGATAAGCATGTTAGGAGAATTTATGCTGTGACAAAGATGCCATTTTACTGCTCTTGGTTCGCGGTGGCACAAGTGGTATCCCACCATGTCGTGAATTACCTTAAAGGTTAACCTTTTTTCCCATGCAATAACATTGTATTAGGGGCTAGTTATCTATATGTAAAGTTATTTTTTCCAAAAAAAATTTTTTTTGTGCACCGAACCTGAAAGGGTTAGTAGTAAATAGTTATTCTTTAGTATGAAGCAGGCATAAAATGTAGCATTTGAACATCCTGTTAACCTTTTTGCTCCTGACATGAAGTGAATGAATTTCCCTGTGTGACCTTGGAGCGCGAGCATCATTGTGCCCAAAATCATTTTGCAATTAATCCTAACGTTCTGCTTAAGCAATAATTCTCGTAAGCAGGCAATCCTAACACTTAAGATTAAAAATTCGGAATAAGTGCAGTTTTAGAAAATTTCCACCAATATTAAAGCACGTACCATATTGTACAACCATTTTTTGAATCTCCTCTTCATAGAAGTCTACCACCTAATTTGACATCCATTGTTATGGACATTTTGACCTCAACTTTATCATTGTAGTGAAGACTGTCTGGATGCAGAAACAGGTGGTAGTCACTGGGTGCTAGATGGGACTGTTACGGAGGGTGATCAAGTTGCTCCCAGTGAAATGATGCAATGAGATCTTGGTTCATTTTGCTGCATGTGGACGAGCTTTACCATATAGCAAAATAATTCTTCTACTCAGCCTGCCATGCCATTTTGTTTTGGATGGCATGGCACAGTTTGTTTAAAGTCTCAAAATCTGTTGTAGAATTTTGTGTTCAAGGCAAAAAATCCACAAGGTACATCTCCTTCCTGTTCCAAAACAGTATACAATTTTCTGGATTGAAACTGTCTGCTTGAACTTCACTGTCTTGAGTGATTATGAAGGCCAGCTGGATTGCTGCTTCGATTCTGGTGTAGACAAAGCCAGTCGGCTTTCGCCGCCTGTAACAGTTTGGCTGAAAAAAATCATCACTTTCCTCACTTTACTGCTGAACAAAATATACTATGTAAATATCTGGTTTCGTGAACCTCTGTCAACATTTTTTCTGTGTCCAGCATGGGCATGGTTTTCGATAATTTTAGTTTTTGCCTATAAAGTTGCTAGGTAATAAGACTCCAAAGCTACCAACTGTCACAGTTTTACTGGTTTATGTTAGGTTACATGAGTGTGGCAGAGCAAACAAAGACTATTTCCCTAAAGAGGGATGTTCTCATGAAGGGGAACTTGCTCCTATTCACGTCGCACATTGATAAAATCATAAAACTTTGTTCTGTTTCAATCGTTTGTCAACTTTCTGCATCAGTAATGACGGAAAATCTCCTACTTTATTCATTATTATGAACATTTGTGTATCCATCTTTGAAACCTTTGACCCATTTCTATACCATTCCATCCATTGCTCGTAATGTTTTTCTTTACTTGACTAATCTGGGAACGAATTACAGCCAATATCTTCAGCACTAAGAAAACAAATCACTGATCATCAGTTGACAGAGGCAGTTAAAAAAAAATTAAATAAAGGAAGCTAACACAGTTAAAAATTTCTGTAATGATATTTGTAGCTTGTCAACACATGTAGGTAAAGAGCGTGCATCTGCGGGATGCGGATCACGGCACTGCCATGCTGGAATATCAAAATGGTATGTACTTTAAAAACGTGCCTCGTAAATATCTCGTAAACTCTGTTTTCTCCTACGAAAGTTTTAAGCAATTTTCACTCCATGAAGTGTCTAAATTTGAATGTGCATTCTTAGTGTCACAGAATAAAATAATAAATAATATTCATTAGAACAATGCTAATATTCTTGAGATTCTATTCAGTAGGTTTTCACAACATTCTGACATAATTTATGTACGTTAGAAATTTGAAATAAAATGTTCCATTTCAGTGATATGGTGAGCCATCGGGAACACTTTGCTTCCATATCACATTTGATATATTGAACCCTTGGAGGGAAACAGAGCCTTATTGTTGAACATAGAAAATGCTGTGGTTCACAAAACAAATATTTATTACAGAGCAATACACAGAGATACATGCAGAGAAATACAAGCAAAGTTACATGCAGAGATAAGCAGAGCGTGAAAACGATTACAGAGGTTATAATATAACTTGACAACAGATCATGGTTTAACAAATCATAAACAAGACACAATAAACAACCAATCAAAAATAACATAAAGAATGGGATTAAGTTTCCGAATAATTCGGACCTGACTGAAAGCTAATGCATCGGACTTGACAGAAAGCTAAGAATGCTATTACAAATATCTTAACACTTATCAAATACAATATGCTGGGGGCAAAGAGATTAATCTCATGGCTTTCTGCTTTTAATCTGAAAAATTTTTATCCCCTTTGCTATTTCTGAATATTTTAAAAAGTAAAAGAACATTGTGTTGTTATTGAGCATCACTTATATAACTGCACACTGCATCAGTTAATAATGCATAGTGTAATCAAAATTGTTTCTGCCACTTGTTTTATGTGCAAGACTAATTAAAAAATTTCTTAGGTCTTGCTTTCATAAATTTGCTGTATAACAAAAACTGGAAGATTATTTCAGTGTGCAAAAAAGTACTAATACATGCAATAAATATAGTGTATTTAACGTCTGTATTCATAGTTACATGAGGAGGCTAAGTTGCTTCACAATCAAGTTTCTTCCACACACTTGTTGTCCGACACCATTTTCCTTTATGTTGCAACTATTGTGTGAACAAACATGGTGTGTGTTTCGGTTTGAGTTCGAAGGTAGTACCGGCACACAGTCAGAACTACATATGTAATGAGTGCATTTAACCACTACTAAAAAAAGTTAAGGGAAGAAAGGATATTAATTTTATTGCATCTTAGTTTGGTTTTGTTTACTCTTATGAAAAAGCACTTGGAGGCTGTCTGCCTATGGGGAGGGATGCGTTTGCAGCAGACTATCTAAGGAAAACTTACTCGTGTACACGTTAAGAGGCTGTCACAGTCCCTGCTAGATGGGACTTTCCTGAGAAACAAGATTCTGGTAGCACTGGTTTAAATGGGGAGGATTCCTAGAAAAAAAGAGCCCCGCCTGAAATGAAGTCCCGCCTAGCTACG